CCCAAGTCCTGAATCTTTGTAGTTTCTTGAAATCAACTGGCACATTTAGACCCTTTGGGGAGCAATTCTTGCCACTGAATTCAGGAGCAAAGGGAGCCATGAGGTGGAGGATCTGACCTCCATAGAGGCAGGCTGAGTGGCACCTTAGAGATATCAAATATTGAGGAATTCTTCTGCCCTGGCATGAATAGTCAGATTGAAAAGTGTTTCTGGTTGGGAGTCTCAAGTATCACCACCACAGAAGTATCTTCTCTGCAATCAACCCCTAGGAGTTGCAAACTGGGAGACCGGGGTGTGACTGCACCTACAAATAGCCTCAGCTCCTCTTTTCCTTTCAGTGTGAGCTCTAGGAGGGAAGGGGCTATCTGCTTTGTTCACTGCTCTATCTCCTGTGTGTGAATACCTGACACACAGTAGGTATTAACAAATAATTATTTGTTAATTATTATTTAACAGGACTCCCTGAGATAGGAAGGGGCTGTCTGGGAGGAATCTAGCCCAGGAGCCCTCTGTGCATCAGGCCAGACTGCTCTAAGTGTTTACCTAATCCCTTCTGTCCCCAACTCAGCCTGTCCTCTTCTGACACTGGCCTAGTTAGAAGTCAAGCTCCTTGGGGAACACCCCCCTTCCTGCCCCCAACCATTCCCATGCCTTCCTCTTCTCCTCCACTGACCTCCACAGCCCTGGTTGCCATCTGGCCCAGTCTCCTTAAAACCCACCATAGCAAGGACCTCAGTGTCCCTCTGAGGATGAGAGAGACCACTTTGAGCAGGAAGAGCAGGGAACAAGAAACCAAAGAGTTTGGTGCTTCCAGCCTTGGGCACCAGAGCACATACCATAACGCTTGAATCCACCGCTCCCCAAAACCTCAAGAAAACTCCTCCCAGACAGATGAACAATACAGTCGTAGAAACTCAAGAGATTTGGAGAACAGAAAGGAATACATAACTCTTATTTAACTTAGACAGCCTGTGTCAGGTAAACTTCTGCCACAATTCTCTCTGTGAAACATCCCTGATCCTCAGAGGTAAACCAACAACCAGACCACCAGGAAACCAAAGCAGGTGGAAAAATACACTGATGTGCAAGCCACGCACAGGCATTCTTAGGGAACAAGTGAAGGGGTTAGTGCTTGGGCACAGTTTACTTGAAAAGGCTTCTTGAGAGTGAGTTCTAAGTGAAATTATAAAGGATGTTAAAAACGAAACTAAGAACATGACTTGGCAAGAAATGGAGAAAGTGTTCATGGTCTCTAAGTTTTGAGGTCTTAAAAGGGATGGTGACACAGGCTCTTGGGGAAGCCAGGGTGTCAGACATTCATGTAGACATCTTCCACCAAGGTTAAGGTCAGAGTGAGGGTCAAAGTTCACAGAAGAGGGAGTGAATGAGAAAGAGAGGTAACATCTATTTCCATCTATCTCACCAAGGTCAGTGAGTAAGACAATCTAGCTTTGGAAACAACAGTCCAGGTGGAAAAACTAGAGAGAAGAAGCAGAAAAGAAAGTAAGTGGCAACTTCGGACAGGAAGTGATGGGTGAGAGAAACAAGAATGGAAAAAGATGAGATGGCAATGCTGGGGAGTAGGGTCCCCAGGAGAGGGTACAGGAAAGAAAGGAGTGGCCCAGGAAAGGCAGCCTGGAACAAGCTTCCACATGAGAAGTTCGATGAGAGAAAGCTGTGACAGCCCCCGTTTCCATGGGCATGCCAGCAAAGGCACTCCTCAGGCCTTGACCTTCTGCTGGCCTTTGTTCCATGGGAAGCTCTGAAGGGTTTAGTCAGTATGGCTCAGGAAACAAGTGTCCCTTCTTCTGAGAGAAAGATTATCATGCAAGGAGTATAGAAAACAAAGACAATATTCTTTCCACCCTAGACGCATGCACCACCCCAGTTAGGACCTGGACTCACTGGCCACCAGGTGAGAGAATTCTTGTTCTTCTCTTGGCTTATATCAACAAAGGCTATGATTCACAGGTTCCCTGTGGAAACTGAGACTCCCAAACAATCTCTCAATGGAGGAGAGGCCCACCCCTGGCCTCTGCCCCAAGGAGGAAATAGCTCAAACAACAGAGAACCGCCACTCCAAGCGCCAAGCTGCCATTCCAGGCAAGGGAGCGTCTGCCACCCCATTGGTTAACCGTGTGCATCTGAAAGGACACCTGTGTGGAGAGACCATGGGATTTGGCTCTGTTTTTCACTAGCTAGGCAATGTCGATCTGCTTAATTTACAATTCAGGGACTTAGTTTCCTCACCCACAAAAGGGAGACTAAATACGTTTCAGTTCCTCTCTCACTCTGCCATCCTTCAAAACCACTGCAAGAAGCAAGAAGTCGGTAAGATCAAAGTATTTCACAATTTCTCCCTCTGATTCCCCCGCAGTAGAGACAGGGAGATGAGATGCAGATAAAAGGGGCCGAGGAGCTTTGAAAACCCGTTCTCAGTTTGAGACTGATGGGGGAAGTAGGGCACAGTCAACAAGACTAACAGGGAAAAAAAGAAAAAATCCTCTACTCAGTGTAACCACAGGAGCTCTTTTGACCAAAGATTAAAGGGTGGAGACCCCGGACCGCAGCAAAAGCAGCCGGTCTGGGAGACTTCAGGAATGAGGCAACGTCAAACAGAGCTGGGAGACAGTGTTTTAGTGTCTACCACCTTTTCATCAATTACCTAATGGGCTTCAGTGTTGTCTTCCCAATAAGACCACGAGTCCATTGTTAAAGATGCATTATGCTTCTTTTGAACTTGCCACAGAATGGACACACCGCCGGTACTTCATTCTTACTCACTTGATAGTTCAGAATAAGAAAATATCTAACAAACATTTACTCAGCATTTAACATGGCTGAGGCATTGCAAAAGTCATTTTCACACAGGAATGCTCATTACAAACCCCATTTTACAGACACTCAAACTGAGTCTCAGACGTTTCATGACTGGCTCAAGGCCTCACAAGTACCTTGGCAGGGCTGGGATTCAAAGCCGTCTCTCCACTCTCACAGTTTCTCTCCACAGTGGACAGAAGGTCTGGTCTTGAGAGTCACTTTGCATACCAGTGGAAAGGACATACGTGTGCACGTGTTCACTCGTGTTCCAGAAAATCATGTGCAACCTACACAATGGAGATGAAAGCTTAGGAGTAAAATAAAGAAGCAATCAAAACTGGGTGGATTCCTGAGAAAGATGTGTACAGCAGGGTTTTCACTATCTGGAGGGATGGCTTGGTGGGAGGAGAACTGAGCAACAATAGCTGAGAAATGCTCAAGAATGGGAAACAGCTAAGGAATAGTAAGGAACAGGAAACAGCGAATTGCAGTCACTTGTAATGACACAAGATGTTTGGACAGGAGGGAGTCGATCCCAGGCCTAAGAGAGCGGTTTAGAAATGAGGCAGTGTTTTTTGAGTCCATTATGAGATGCATCATTAGGACATGACTGAAAGTAATTAACATGCTTCTCATTTGTCTGTTGATCAAGTTGCAACTGGAAAGGAGTTTCCACATGGGGGAGGGGCGCCGGGGAACCAACCAGAGGGAACCTACACCATTTCCTGAATGTGAGCTCAGGGTTGGTGAATGCCTAGGTGATGCCATCAGAGGCCTCCATCAGCACTGGCCCACCCCTCCCGGAGGCCCATAAAAGCCAAGGGGCCTGGGGCTCCGTAGATGCCTTTTCTTCTTTATCCCCCTCCACACGCACCCACATCGGGAGCTCGTCTTGCCCACCTTTCTCAGCCACTATGTCCAGGCAGTCCACCATCACCTTCCAGACTGGCAGCCGCAGAGGCTTCAGCACCACCTCGGCCACCACTCCAGCCTCCGGGCGCTCCCGCTTCAGCTCCGTTTCCATGACCCGTTCCACGGGAGGCAGTGGGCGGCTGGGAAGGATCAGCGGGCCTGGGACCAGCTTTGGGAGCCGCAGTCTCTATAATCTGGCAGGGACCAAGAGGGTCTCCATCAGTGGGTGTGGCAGCAATTTCCAAAGTGGCTTTGGTGGCAGGGCGAGCAGTGGGTTTGGGGTCAGCAGTGGATTTGGCTATGGGGGCGGAGTTGGTGGAGGCTTTGGCCCTAGTTTCCCTGTCTGCCCCGCTGGAGGCATCCAAGAGGTCACCGTCAACCAGAGTCTCCTGACTCCCCTCAACCTACAAATTGACCCTACCATCCAGCGAATTCGGAAAGAGGAACGGGAGCAGATCAAGACCCTCAACAACAAGTTCGCCTCCTTCATCGACAAGGTGAGCCGGGAGCTGCATCTGCTCCATTGGGTTGGGGTGGCAGGACCTCTTGGAGAGGCCCCGGCCCAGAGTGGGAGCAGTAATGCAACAGCCTCCCTCTGACAGCACATTGGCTCAGCAGGTACTTCCCAGGGGGCTGAGGCATTTGCAAGTGGGGCCAGCTTGCTCAAGGGGACCTTGTGGAAATTTCTCCTGTCCTCCTTGGAGCCATGTGGACTGGTTCAGTCAACGCCAGGGAAAGATAAGTTGTTCTCTACAGCAGGGATCCCCAACTCCCAGGCCATGGACTAATCAATACTGGTTAGGAACCGGGCCACACAGCAGGAACAAAGCTTCATCAGTATTATGGCCCCTCCTCAGTGCTAGCATCACCACCTCGGCTCCACTTCAGATCATCAGGCATTAGATTCGCACAGGAGCACCAGTCCCTGGTGCTAAAGAGGTTGGGGACCGCTGCTCTATAGGAGGAGTTTCCACTCAGCAAACTAACCTAACCCAGAGCAGGTGTTGAGACTATCAACTCGTAGAGGCCTCCAAGCTCACTACACTAGTTCTATGGAAGCCCCAGACAACTTCGGGGTAGCTTCAAGGGCTTTCTCATTTTGACTTGGAGTCATCAATTATGTAGTTGACAGAAGAGTGTCAATTATATAGTGACAGGTGAGAGTTATATTTTTCTTCCTTCCCTTATTAGTTGGAGTGTCTGGTTCCCATTAATTTCTCAAGTCTTCTCAGTTTCTCAAAATTTCATTCTCTTCTTCTCCCTTCCAGGTGCGGTTCCTGGAGCAGCAAAACAAGGTCCTAGAGACCAAGTGGAGCCTCCTTCAGGAGCAGGGCTCCAAGACTGTGAGGCAGAACCTGGAGCCCTTCTTTGACGCTTACCTCAATGACCTCCGCCGGCAGCTGGACAACGTCACCACCGAGAGCGGCAGGCTGGATGCTGAGCTGAGGAACATGCAGGACGTCGTAGAAGATTTCAAAGTCAAGTAAGTGGGAGGTGGGCTCCTGGTCACATGCAATCATCCCAGGGCTCTTTTTCATGAGGACCAGAGAGGTGCAAAGGAGCAAATGCTAATGTCAGCCAGAACATTTGAAACTTGAAGTCATTATCCTATAAGATGAAGACAGCATGGTGGGGGGTAACAGAGGGACCCTCATCTCATGTATCACTATTAACAAGGAGCTTATTCTTACCTGTCTACACTACCATAACGGGATACCTGTATCACCTAACAAAACGTTGCTACTCTGGAAAGCATGTCATTTCATGGTCAGCATATTATTTAACTCTGCTGGACATGGGCTCACAGTTCCAGAATGCACACTAGAGTATAGACAGGCAATCTGGTCCTCCTCAGGAAGACAAAATTTGACTGGCCATCACCCGGACCGCAGTAGGCAAGGTATCCAGTGAAAGGGGATATCCAGTAAAATGGTCCTCACTGACCATTTAGCTGCCTTAACCTTGGTTTCTGAGTTAAAGATATACATACTTACTGAAGCACACTGCTCAAACAGCTGCCCTGAGGTTCAGTGAAAATATATCAGAATTTGCCAGGAACAGTGTCCTGAACAAAGTTTACAGCAAACACTTGAGGCAGAAATGTTTTTTAAAGAGTAAACTTGTGCAAAAAAGAAGGAAAAAAACCTCTCTCAGAAGAAATTATTCTCCCTTTTATAGAGGGAGAAATAGAGTTTAAATGAATCACCCAAAGTCACACACAGGTCAGCAGAAGAGCTAGAGATGATTTGAGGTCTCTTAACCCTTGCCACATCAGTACCGTCCTCCTTGGCCTGGGAAGAGCTCAGTTGAAACCTTGCTCAACAATACGCCCCCTCTCCTCTGCTCACAGGTATGAGGATGAAATTAACAAACGCACTGCTGCTGAGAATGAGTTTGTGGCCCTGAAGAAGGTGGGTGGAAATGTCTCTCAAAAGAGAAAATTCAAAACTGAATCATGATGTGTGCGGTGACCTGACCCCTACCCCACCCAAGAAATGTCACATCAACCTTAAGAACATTGGGAGAGCTCACGCCAAAATGCTCCCTCTGTATTTATGGCCCCACTTCCCCTGCTTGGGTTTCTGTTAGCCCAGGGAACCCAAACAGCCAGTTTTCAGTAATCACCTGCTCCCAACCCCAAACCCTAGATGCAGAGTTTGCTAAAATTCAACCTAGAAGGGCCAGGGAGGAGTCTGTCCAGCTTTTTTTCAGACTCATCACCTGGGGCTGGGGTCTCAGAAGAGTATCCTTTGCTGTCGTTCCAGGATGTGGATGCCTCCTACATGAACAAGGTGGAACTGGAGGCCAAGGTCAGCTGTCTGACTGACGAAATCAACTTCTTACGGATGCTCTATGAGGAAGTAAGAGACTGCAAATATTTTTATCCCTCC